TGATGATATGCAGATAATAGCATTGACCTACCCGATCGATATGCCAGAAACAATTCTACCTATATATAATTGAGCAAACGTGGTGGCAGTGGCTTGTAAAATACTGCCGACTATAAATACTATTGAACCACCCAAAATAGAATATTTTCTTCCAAAGCGATCAGCAAAATATCCAGATGCGAGAGCACCTAATTAAAAAGGAAAATAATATACGACAATTGTAAAACAAGTTACAATACCACAAAGGCTACGACGAAACCAATGAAAAAATAGTGAATAACATACCGACAAAACAACCAGCCAAGAATGAAGACACAATTGAACCTTCTTTTGCTGGACCAGAAGGGAATTCTTCACGAAAATGTTGCATGGTAAGTACACCAGATATGACACCTGTAATTAGTGATTATCAAAGAAGACACGAGAATATAAGAATTTGACATTATTTTAGTTAACATATTACAGTCAACCCTCGTTAATATCAACCGCGTTAATATCAACCTCTCGTTAATATCAACCTTTCACTAAGAAAAAAATAAGCTTAGGCTATATTTAAACCATCCCATTGTTATCAATCCTCGTATATATCAACATAATTGTCGAATTTAAATGGGTTGATATTGATGAGGGTTGACTGTAACTAAAAAATTTTTCTTTCACATACCGATGTCATATCCGAACAGAAATCCACCTATATAAGAATTGGATATAAATTCATTAATATATTTTAATATGTAAAAGACAACACGGTATGATACATATTAAGATTATTATTACCAAATGCAGAAAATATAGCACACAAGTATACAAATAAATTGTCCATTTCTTTCGATATTGAAAGGACGAAATACGCAAGAAATTCCCCCAATATATCTTAATATAGTAGTTCAAGAAAATGCATTAAAATATGTGAATCTTATTTCACGTATTCCATGAAATTATTTTATTGCACATATTCTATGAAATTAACTATTTAATTTAATTTAATTAATAAACGTCAACAACGTCAGCGCGAGCAAAAGTTAAATAAATAAATAAATATCTGATATATATCTGATATATATCTGATATATATACGTACATATACAGTATATGTACTTATAGGTATACGTATAATTTACACATATAGTAATTATTTACCTCACTTAAATTCGCAATAAAATATAACAAAAAAATACTGTTAAGTTTGTATATTGGTCTAATTTGAGATATTAAAATTATGAGGAAAAGCGTACGTAACGTCTGATTTATTTAAATTATTTTCGAATTGATTACCTTGAATGGTTAGCTCTAAAAGTGCTTAATCACGATCTTTTCTGAGACTAAAAAAAAAATAATAATAATAAAATAAGAATAGAATAAGAATAGAATAGTAGCATCATAATGATGGAATACTATTAAAAATAGTACCAAAACATTCAAAACGTTTAAGTGCTGGCGTACTCTTAGCTGCAAGATATTCAAATTTGGACAAGCACTCGGCAAACGAAAATACCTTCAAATGGAATTACTGCTAATGAACGAATGAATTAATAAATTTGTCATCTCTATATAGCTAATGAACGAATGAATTTAGTAAATTTGTTGTATCCATATATTTAGAAATTGCCTTAGCTTACATAAATTGAGTTTACACAATAGTGAATTTGAAAAATGAAAACCAGCTCTTAATTTTCAAGCGAGACTTCATTATTAAGGGTAATTTATATTTATTTTCAAGTCATATTATTTCCTTAATCATCTCTTTCAATACGCGCAAAGTTACCGTTATTGCATAAATGGACCAATTCGTTAATTATAGGATCATGATTTCTCATTTTCCATTCCCGCCCCTATTTCAAACGCCTTTAGTGTGCCCGATTTGTTAACGTATGCACATCTGCTTTCGACCTAATCTTTCTTTGACTTTATTACTTCGGGTTGATTTTTTGTGGGGGATCAACATAAGAATGAGATCACAAAAAACAGATGATTTTTTTATAGCACATTCTAACAAAAAATAACATTCAAAGAAACTAAGTGCTTTATGTTTCGTACTATCGTTATATTACTGTACTACCTCATTATACTAGTCTTTTAATGATTAATAAATAAAACAAGGTTATTTATATAAAGCAAACGTACAGTATAGAGGCATTCAAAACAATAAATTGGAAATAGATCAACCACTAAGCAAACGT